GTTGTCGATGCCGAGTTTTAGCACTTTTTGATGTCCATGAACCACCATCATTATTTGATGAGCACAAACAACAAGTACACCACACCAACATTTAGAAATTATATTGATAATTTTTTTTTTAAAAAAAAAAATCAATAAAATAAATAAATAAATATATTTTTTGATTTAATTAGTCACAGGTTAAAATGTTCAGAATTATATGTTTATGCTTCTATTTTGTAGCAAGAATATTTGGGTCTCAGACCTTTTTTAAATAATTAATTTCTTTCGTATTAAAAAAAAACGTTTGTTGTTTGTCTTCTCTATCTATTTCCTTATTTTATTAACTCCAACCAACACCTTTACTTCTTTAATTATCTCCAACCAACACCTTACTTCTTCAAACACGCAAGGTTAATACAAATGTTCGTTTTACATTGGTTTGAGAGAAAAGATTAGATCTCTTATTAATCACTAATTCTTTTCTTTTATATGACCGTTCTTACAAATCTATTTTATACTTTATTATTATCGTTATACAAAAATCGATCATAAATACTAAAATAGTAATAATATGCTGCATATGCAGTATTTAAAATAAACTTTACATGCATAGACTTCTGATTTAACTGATAAATATTTATAGTTAAATTAACTATATACTAAATGTCACTTACATTATATGTCATCTAGTATTACCAAGTAATCCTTATCTAATAATAATTCACAATACATGTGGAATATAGTATATGTGATATTTATACGTGAAGCTTTACAATGTTTACTGATTGTACTCTAAACTGAGTCTATCATATATATATCAATATATATATATATTTGTGTGTACAACAATTGATCTCTTTCTTTTTCGTAAAACATATTTTCGTGATAAAACGATAATTACATATTTAAAATAAAATGGGTTTAAACAAAACCAAAAAACAACTAAGTAATAAAAATAAACGAAAAGCAGATGCAAGTGAAGAAGAAGACTCAAACCAGTCTGAGATAGAGTCTGAAATGAATGAAAGTGGAACAGGTTTTAACGTTAATAATGAGACTTTTGTAACAAAAAATATTTCGGCTTTACTTAAGCGACTAGAAACCTTGGAAAGACATCAAATTGCTCATAACAAAGAGGCTAAGAACCAGAAAGCAGATGCCAATTCAGATAGTACGGATAATGACTCATCCAAAAAAAAGAAAAAAAAAAGGGCCAAAAGAAAAAAAAATTATAAAAAGGACGATACTTCTAGTTCAGAGACGGAAGATACTGATGATGAGGTTCTATTATATACTGTATATGATATTTCTAATTTGAATCTTTATGTAATTTAATAATTTACAATTTAAAGTTGGCTCCAATCGAAAAACCGAATGAAGCAACATATATCGATATCCCTAAAACACTCAAACTGGACAAACCTGTATATAATAGCTATCGGGTAGAATTTTATTACATTGTATAAATATTATAATAAATAAATAATCATAATAATTATTTATATTATCTAGAAATCGCTTCGTTTGATGATTACGGCTAAATATGCAAAGCAAATGCCTGAATTTTGAAAAATTCCAGAGAATGAAAAGAGTGAAATTATTAGAAAGGCAAATATAATCGTAATTTAATTGTATTGTTGATTGCTTAAAATAGTTAAACAAAAAACTTTTATTTTAGTTCAAGCGAAAGAATCCAAAATTTCCTTCTACAACATGTGACTGGGCCATTAGACGAATGATGCGAGGAATAATAAATAACAAACGTACGTACATATGTACATAAAATTATAGTTTATAAAGTATGCATGTAGGCGTTATTAATTATTTTTAAATAGTGACACAGAGAAGCGCAAAATAAATAATCATTCACTTTACAACAATAATCGTTCACTTTACAACAAAAAAAGTAAACCTGGTACGTATAATACTAATTATAGTTGTTATTTTTCTTATACGTAATAACTTTATTAACTACTTATAAATTAAGGACAATTGGTTGAATTGAGTAATTCTGTACAATCCATCTCTCATGCTTCTACTTATTCAGAATCAAATGAAACTCTTCAAGAATTTGTAACTAATCTTAGGCTTAATGTAAAAAGCTAAATGTATTATCTCAAAAAAAAAACACTACTAATTAATTTTTAATTACACACTCAGGCTACTAATCAAGTTCATGACTTGGAAGTTGAAACTCCAATTTCAACAAATATGAATGATACTATTGTGGCATCGGCATCTTCTTCACGACTTCCATTAACTACTCTCCAAAATCAAAATAGGGATTCCAATAATACCGATGAGTTACCGGGCAAACCTAAAAAACCTCAAAATTCTAGCCGCACGCTACGTAGTCATACTTCCAGGTATACTAAAATATCATCTTTAATTTGCTCTGGTTGCTTTTGTTATTTTTTGTTGAATTAGTAGCCTGTAAATATAAATGCGTTAAATTTATTTCTAAATTGATTTTTTTAACTCTCACTTTCACATGTTCACGTGACTCGCTTTCATATATTTGAATGATTCACTTCAACAAAATTATTCACTTGATTCACTTCAACAAAATTATTTACTTGATTCACTTCAACAAAAAATTATTCACTTGATTCACTTCAACAAAATTATTTACTTGATTCACTTCAACAAAATTATTCGCTTGACTTACTTCAACAACAAATTCGTTTGACTTACTTTCAATAACATATTCGTTTGACTTACTTCAACAACATAATCACTTGATTCACTTCAACAAAATTATTCGCTTGATTTACTTTAACAAAATTATTCGCTTGATTTACTTTAACAAAATTATTCGCTTGATTTACTTCAACAAAATTATTCACTTGATTCACTTCAACAAAATTATTCGCTTGATTTACTTCAACAAAATTATTCGCTTGACTTACTTCAACAACA